TTCTCCCGCCCCCCTCCACAGATAATGCTTGCTGTTGGATGCACTAACATCATGGCTGGCACCGCATAGGTCGTAGCTGTTATTTTTTGAGTAAGTGCCACGGTTCAGGCAATGTGTGTGCTTTCATTTAATCCTCAGAGCTACCCTGTGAGGTGAGTATCATCATCTCCAGTGTTCAGATGAGGAAACAAAGGCATAGAGGAACAAATAAAGCCACTTCATCCATGGCAGTGAGACCACCGTGCCCTTATTCGTCAGTCCTAAAGAAAATGCCATATTTTGACTCTCATATTGATTATTCTCCTGTTTTCCTTCTAATCCGTTCCATCCTATCCTTATCAACTTAACGCTCACTTTGTCTTCTCTCTCACTAAATGGCAGTTTATTGGAGGCAGAGCTCTATAACCAGGGGATAGTGTGCTTATTTTTCCACCTGAAGATCAGAAAAAGAAAAGGGCTACTTTCGGAGAGTGAATTATTAACTTCAACCTGAGTGGTCTCCACAGACTGTGGGTCAGCAGCAGGTTGGTGTGGACCTCCCGCCTCTTTCACTTACGGGAGATGGGAAGCAGCTGTCCTGCCAGCGCTGCCACCTCGTGGAGTACTGGGAAGCCCGTGAACCTCGCAGGCTGTCGCATACGCTGGAAGAGAGGGGGCCTCTCTGTGCTGGGTGTTGCCGTTGTGTTATTCCGTTTAACCCTCACCACAGCCCTCTGACGGGGACTGTGCCACGCCCATTTCCCCAGGCACCACCGTCCCACGCCCTGCAAGTACTCATGACTCCTGAAGACTTTCCTGGCAGAGCTGGCAGTGCCAGGGGGTGAGTGCCCCGGGGCAGCCAGTGGAAGTGGGAGAGCATAGGTGCCCCAATTTCCTCCCCTCTTGGTGGGGATACAACTCTGAGGTGTCTTGTGGTGGCCTCTCGGGTCCCCCCTGTGGGACTGAACCTCTGTCAGCTCCCGGCAGCAGCTGCTCACGTGCTCTGACAGCGTCTTTCCCTTCCAGTCCGGCCTCCAGCTCCCCTTCGGTGCTTCCTGGGTCAGCACTGGGCTTGGCAAGGACCCCACTCTGGGGCTCATGTGAATGCATGACCTGAGAGGGGGTCTCTGCATGCTGTATTGCGGGCATCTCAGCTTCATTGCCCTGCTCCTGGCCCTCACCTAGGTTACTACCCAAATAAAGTATTTGCATTCCAGTTAGGTCGGCTTCTGAAGGACCTAACCAAAAGCAAATCCTCTGAAGAAATTCATCTCCATGTTTTGTACTTGGAAAACTGAGGCTCAGAGAAATAAAGAAACTCGCCTAAGTAAAGTCAGACCACTAACTGGTGAAGGGGATGGGATTTGAACCCAGGTCTGTGCGACACCAGAGCTGAAGCTCCCTGTACTTGCCTCTTAATTCCCACCTGAGTCACAAAACTCATGACTCAGTGGAAACTTCAGACTTGGATGGGCTCATTTTTGCCTGTAAGTCAGGGCAGATTTGGCCTTCGGCTGATTTTAGCACATGCAACTTGAGGGGAGGGGAGGCTGGTAGTCCAGTGGGAAGACGGGCGAGTGTGCACCCCAAGTGGGAAAGTGTGGAAGCTGTGTGCACCAGAGAGGCAGGAAGGGTTACTTACCTCCTGCTTCAGAAGCCCTGGACTACTGAGAGGTGTGGGAGGGCTCTTCGATTGAACAACAGTGAACTGGTAGCTGTTCCTTGTTAGCTCCAGAACGGGGCCCCGAGGCTCCAAAGGTGAACTAGAAACATTCTCTGGGAACTCACAGTACAGTGGGGAGGATGAATGCGGAAACAGGTGCTCTTAATAAACTACTATAAGCTGGGCTCGGTGGCTCAGCCTGCAATCCCGCGCCTTGGGAGGCTGAGGTGAGTGGATTGCCTGAGCCCGCGGGTTCGAGACCCGCCTGGGCAACTTGGTGAGACCTCGTCTCCACAATAAATCAAAAAATTAGCCGGGCGTGGTAGTGTGCACCTGTAGTTCCGGCTACTTGGAAGGCTGAGGCGGAAGGATCACCGGAGCCCAGCGAGTCGAGGCTGCACTCCAGTCTGGGCGACAGAGTGAGACTCCAACTCAAAAAAAAAAAAAAAAATTACCACACAGACTTAGAGAGCAGGCCGGGAGGAGCTTCTTGGGGAAGACTCCCCATCACTGCTGATGATCGAGCTATAATTTAACAACTGAGGAAGGAGGCGGTGAAGAGGTGGGAGAGGCCAAAGGGGGTCATTCCAGGCACACCAGCAGGGAATAAGTTGTGAGGGTGAGCGACAGCTCTTGCTCGAGAGATGCAAGGCACGCCTGGGCAGAGGGCTGGGGCCTGTGGGGGCAGTGGCGGTGGGGCTCCAGCAGTAGGGCCTGGCCCCTCCCCGGCTCAGCAGCGTCTCTGGCTGCGTCCGCCTCTCCCCACCCTTGGCTCTGGTGCAGCTGGGCATGGGCACCAGCGGCCACGAGGGGACCTTGTCAGAACTCGCCCTCCCCTGTGTTGGTCAGTGGCCATCTGGTGTCTGACGAGAACTGCTGGCAGCCGCTGTGCCTCTGCGGCCGCCAGGGCTGTCCCAGCTGCTCACAGGCCTCCAGCCCAGATGGCCGTCTCCCTGTGTTGGCCTCGACCCAGACCTTCCCTGGCACCCAGACGAGGGGACCCAGAACTTTCAGAAACACAGATAAACAGGCCTGGCAGTGCTTGTCGGGGCGTATCCTCTCCCCGGCTCCAGAGCCTGCAGACTCAAGAGCCTGCGGTGTGAGTCACAGCTGGGCCCCCACGCCGGACTCCGTATTCTCGCCCGACTAGCAAAGTGGAGGGAGGCGAACCCCAGGCGAGGCAGGATGCCGGGCTGCAGAGATGGCCGCTCTGTCCTTCTGGTCCCGCCCCCTACTGTCCTGCCTTCCAGAACCTACATGCCAGGTCGGTCCCCAGTAAGCTGTACGGCTGGGCTGGTGGCCGGCATGCTTCCAGGCCTCGCCATGCCACGTGCCAGAACTGATACGGAGCCACACTCCCTGGCCTCCTCCTGGTGTCATGGGGAGGCCTTGTGCTATCCGTGGACAGGGCTCACGAGGTGGCCTGAGGTTTTAAAGTTGACCCACCAATTTGCCTGAAAACGAAGATGGTTGCCGGCTGTCGCATCTCCCAGGGGTGTCCCAAGGTCATGTTCCCTCAGGCGGACCAGCTTGGCAAGTTCAGCTCTGCAGCCCCCAGCTCCGCCCCAGCCAGGACCTCCTCCTCCCTGTGGAGAAGATTTGCAGGGGAACCCACTCTCGCCAGACTCCTTGGTCTGGGCGCCCGTCCTCTCCCACCGTGCGCCCCACCTGCTGTGTCCTCTGGGCCCTGTAGCTTCATGCGTTCCCTGAAGGTGCCTGTGCGTGGGACTCAGGACTCATGCTGCTGTGGTTTCCTCGGTGAGGCTCGGCACCCTCACCTGCCCTGCCCGCCCTCGGGCTGGCCAGGCCCCTCCTCCTGTGCCCCACGTTGGCTCCTGTTTGTCCGCACTTACACATGCCGGGAAGTCCTCTGCTAGCACTGCCGATTTCCCAGGCGAGGCTCCTCCAGCTCCTTCCCAGAGGGGAGCTCCCACCTGCAGACTCAGACCCTGAGTGTTTGTAAAGTGCACGGAGCTCTCAGCAGTGCAGAGGGGCTGTCCCAGGTCCTCGACCCAGGGCAGGGCTCCACCTTGCTGTGGGCATCTTGCTCAAGTGCGTGTGTGGCCCTGCCCGCCCGGGGCTCCTCACGGGGCAGACTTGGAAGGAAGTGCAGCTTCCTGAATTGGCCCATGTTTGGTGAGGGTGGGGAGGAAGAGGTGGGACGTGGGGACATCATATCTCAAGTCGCTTTCGAGAGTCACTTTTGGGTCCAGGCCAGGGTCACTGAGGGAAGAGCTCAGGCCCGAGGAGCGACCGGTCTCTGCGTCTCCTGGGTGAGCACCCCTCCGTCTCGGTCCCGTCTGCATCGCCCTGGCCTCCCTGCCCTCACCCCTCCTGCTCAGCCCACGAGGAAGCGGAGGCTGCTAAGACCAGCCCGCTGGTCTTTGGTGGCAGTTCCCGGCCTCAGCGGGGTCCCTGGGTACTTTTTGGCAGGAAGCCCCTCCACGTGTGGCCCATTGGGCCAAGGGCAGCCCAGAGGCCCAGAGTTCAACAGGTGCGGGCCCCGGGCTGGGTTCTGGGGATGCTACCGTGAAGGAGCTGTGGCCTTCCTCCCAGGGACTCGCAGCTGGGGGCGACGGGCCTGGAGAGATTTACCTGGGCTGTACATACTGGAGTTCTTGGGGGCTCCTTCACAGTCGCTGGCCTGCAGAAGGACTGCAGAAGTCCTGAACGGCTGAGGCGATGATTAAGAGTGAGGAGATGACTGAGCTAGCTGGGCCTCGAACGGAGAAGGCCGTGCGTGTACCGCTCAGTCCTTGCCAAAGGTCATTGCCTCAATAGCCTCATGTCATCCTTGAGATAGACCTGTAACATACAGAACAAACGCTGCACACTCCTATGTGATAGATTTGGAAACTTAGCATAGTTGTAAGTGATTTGGGGGAGATCTGTTCAAAACCGATTGCTTGGTTTACCAAATAAAAAGCTCCCCCCTCCCCCTGCTGTCAGCTTTACAAAGCTGTATCAGCATCTGTCTGTGCCACACCCTGGGCCTCGACACAGGTGGCTCAGTTGGGTGGGGCAAGGAGGCGGCCCACTGGACACAGCGGGATCAGGTGAGAGGCTGTGGGGTTAATCAGGTCCGAGATGGCCTGGGGCAGCGGCTGTGGGAGCTGCGAGGAGGGTCCGCACGGGGGCGCGTTCAAGGTCCACTTGCACGGAGGAGGCAAGGGCCAGGCATCCACGTCCAGGCGACCTGGACGGCTGCGTGATCAAACCCGCCTCTTACCTCCAACTAAGGGGGGAACAGAAGGGCTCGGGGGAAAAGGTGAAGGAGAGGATGGATGTGGCTTTGATTTGAACCTGAGGGGCCTCTCTAGCATCTGGCTAACGCTGTCTTACAGACCACTGGGGTGGAGGGCTTGGCTGACAACGGGGGGATCTGGGAGTGCTGATGCGGGTTTTCTCAGGCCCTAGGGACAGGTAAGAAAAGGGGAGAGGGCGTGGCCAGAAACTGGGAGCCCCACTGTCTCAAGGGAGAGGTGGGGAGCTCTTGACAAGACTGGGAGCCCGAGGAAAGAGGCCAGGAGCGGCGGCTGCTGGAGCCGGAGGGGGTGCCTTGGCGGCAGAGAGTGGCTCACGGCTTCGCATGCCCTAGAGAGGGTGGGAAAGGAGAAACGGAGGCACAGGCTTAGGACTGGGCAGTACAGAGATCATAGGTGACCGTGTGGAGGGCAAATGAATGGAAGTGCTGGGGGAGAGGGTGGGGAGGAACTGCAGGATGGGAGGGCACCGTCTTCCCAGAACTTGGGCTGTTTGAGGGGGAGAGGTCACGTGACTCGGGGCAGAGACCCCTGTCTCCCTCTGTGCATCCCCCCAACGCGCCCCTGACTCTGAAGGCTCCTGTGGGGATGGCAGGAGCAGCAGCACCGCTGCCCACGCGGGTGACATTTCTCCCGTCCTTCACAGCGTGCAGAGGACCATGGGCTCCTTTAATCCTTGCAAGAACTCTGTTTACGGTGGTCCGGAGGAGGAAGTTGTGTGTCACTGAGTTTCATTTCAGACTCAGCGAGGCAGATCCAGAGGCCCACTGGGAGCGGGCTCTTCCACTCTTATGGCCTCATCGGCCCACTCAGCCCCGGGATGTGTGCCGGGCCCCACTTCACAGATGGGAGAGGGGGCTCGAGGTCAGGAGACAGGCGCGGCCACCTGTGGCAGGCTGGGTGCCGCTCCGAGGGCCGCGCTCTCCGCTGTGCCCCACGGCGCCTCCCGGGCCCTGCCGGCGGACGCTGGTGCTGCCCAGGACGTTTCCTGATGCACCTTCCCAGGGTCAGTGCACTGAGTGCTCGCAGACAAAGCTGAAACTCAGAGGAGGCGTAGGCAACTTCCCCAAAGTCACACCACGCGTGGAACCCCTTTCCGAAGCCCAGATCCCCCGTCCGCGTCTTCCGTTGCCTTCGGGAAGAAGTCACATGGCTCAGCTGGCACAGTGGCCATTCAGCCAACCTGCCTGCTTCTCTGGCAGATCTTCAGTGTCTTCTTACCTCACACCCTTTGTTCCATACTTCCAACCCGCCTCTGACCTCCCAGCCCCAGTGGCGTGTCTGCCCGCTACGTGCGGCCATCTCTGTCGCTGCCTAAATCAGCCATGCTGTGCTTGCTGGCAAGACTGAGCAGCTCCTGAGGGAGGACCTTGACCTGCCTCGACTGCACCTCAGCGTCTGGTAGATGGGAATGAATGACAGTGGGCTGGGTGCGGCGGCTCCTGCCCGTAATCCCAGCATTTTGGGAGGCTAAGGCAGGAGGACTGCCTGAGCCCAGGAGTTTGATGCCAGCCTAGGCAACATAGCAAGCCTCATCTCTACAAAAATAAAAAAGTCACTAGCCAGGTGTGGTGACATACTCCTGTAGTCCTAGCCACCTGGGAGGCTGAAGCAGAAGGATCTCCCTGAGCCCAGGAGCTTGAGGCCGTGGTGAGTGGTAATTGAAGAATGGGTGACCTTTAAGAAGAGGTGAATGAATGAATGAATGGCATTCAGGCTTGAAATCCGCCCTCCTAGTGGTGACTAGGTCAAGGATCTCTGATGGTCAGAGGTTCTGCAATTTGTCCCCAGCCTCTTTCCCGGTCCCCTTCAGAAGGAAGGAAGTTGGTCTGGTTACAACCTCCGAGGACCTGCAGAGAAGTGGTTGACCCAAGTTGTCGCTTCCGTCCTGTAGGTGGCCGACCCTCGCTGTGTGACCACATGGACTCCATCGGGCCTGTAGGGGTCCAGCCCCGGGAAGGTGCCTCGGGCCTGCCCCCAGGAGGGCTTGCCCTGGCCCGCGGACAGCCCAGAGCTGGTGAGTTCAGCGCGGGGACCTCGTTTCATGCTCACTCAAGGCCGTCAAGAGCAGGATGACCCCTGGGGCCCTGGCTCACTCCTCTGCAGCCCTTTGCAGTCCACCAGGCCTGTCATGTCGGATTTGATGACAGTCTCCTTCGCGGCTGTGAAGGGCTGCAAGGTGGGCTGACCTCTTCCTTGTACAGATGAGGAAAGGGGGCTTAGGCAATGTGCCCTGAGTCTCAGACGACAGGAGTGTGCGCTAAGGCGTTCCAGCTCCTGACATGTCACTCGGCCACCTCCCCTCGCAGCGGCCACCCTGTCCGAGGGTGCTGGCGCAGTCCCGGGCGGCCCGGCGGGAAGCCGTGTTCTCGAGCCCCGTCCTGCCCCGCCTCTCTCAGCCCCCGGCACGTCCCGTCTTCAGCACAGCCCTGCCGTCAGGCGTGTGGGGGACTTGAGTGCTGGACTCGTGACAGAGATGACTTGAGCACTGAACTCATGTCTGGGGTTTGCCAGAGGGGAGTTTCTCTTTTTCGTCATCCTGGCCGAGATCCGAAGCCCTGCGTGCCACCCCCTCCAGCAGGAAGCACGCGTGTCGGTCTTTCCGTGTCTCGAGCCTGTTTCCTCATCAGCACAGCGGAGGGAAGGTGAGGGCTCGGGGGCTGCTGGAGATGAGGAGGGTGCCCCTCAGAGGGCGCTCGTGGCATCCCCTGATGTCTCTTCAGCTTTCTGGCTTGTTCAGATGGTGGGCGGTCACCCCTGCTGCACTTTGGGGCCCCTCTTGGCCTTTGTGCCTCTGTGCCCAAACTGCACCGGGCCCGGGAGTGATGGACGAGCCATGGCTTGCTCCAGGGCCTGCTCCAGGGCCTGCCATGGCTCCCTCTCACCTCCTGCCCAACCCCCAACCCCCGAGACTCCTGCACAGGCCTGTGTCTGCCCTGCTTGCTCTGGGCCCCACTCCCGCAGTTTACAGAACTCCCTCTGGCTCTGGGGGGCTTCCCAGGGAGGCCACATTTCCTGTGGCCTCGGGCCCGCCTCGGCACCATGGGCCGCACCCTCCCCACTCCTTGGGCTGAGAAAAGGTTCGTAAGCCCCTTGGGGTCAGTGCCCCACCCCGGCTCCTTCCCGGTCCCTTCCCCGAGTGTGTCTTCCTCACTGTGGGATCAGGCTGTCCAGGCTAGGCACCTTGTGCTCCCAGGAGCGGGAGCCCCCTGCGTCACGGAGCATCGCCACTTGGACGCCTTCCCCTGCTCAGGCCTCCATCTTGTCAGTCCTCATGGCTCCCTGAGACGTGGTGCTGCCATTGCTCCTGTGGAGAGAGGAGGTCGCTTCTCAGAGCTGAGGGCCGGCCGGACCGACCCACAGCAGGCGGGTGCAGCTCGAGGCCACATGGCGTCATGCACTCTGACACCTTTCTCCTTAATCTCCCGGTCCAGGAAGGGGCGGCTCTGGCAGCTTCTCCTGGCTGCTGTGCACCGCCCCCAGGCTCTGCCAGGGAAGTCCTTCTGCCTCTCCTGCAGCTTCGGCCATCTCCCAGTCCCTCCTCTCGAGCCTCTCTCTGTCCCCCGGAGGAAAAGGAAGAAAACCATTCATCTGCCCACGCCATTGACAGCCCCATAACTCTGCTGTTTTCATTAAGCAATAGTAAAGCACCCCTCACATCTGAACAGCACTTTACACTTTCCCTTACGTTATTCCCTTTAATTCTTACGGCCATAGCCATTCAATCACAAATCCTGAGAGCTGCCTCCAGCCAGCTGCTCCATGCCCAGGGCTCTGGGAAACAGCTGCAAACAAGACAGGTCCCCAGCCCTGGCCTTCAGAGTACTGCTGTTTTCTCAGTTTTGCACAAGAGGGGACTGAGGCGCAGACCGTGACTTTCCCAGGAGCAAACCGCTGGGCAGCAGCAGGGTGAGGCCTCAGATCTAAGTTTTCTTTTCTTTTTTCTTTTTTTGAGTTGGAGTCTCACTTGTAGCCTAGACTGGAGTGCAGTGGCCGCTCCTGGCCACCGCAGCCTTGACCTGCTAGGCTCCGGCGATCCTTCCGCTTCAGCCTTCTGAGTAGCTGGAACTACAGGCGTGTGCTACCACGCCCGGCTAATTTTTGACTTATTGTAGAGATGAGGTCTCGCTGCCCAGGCAGGTCTCGAACCCGCGGGCTCAGGCAATCCACTCACCTCAGCCTCCCAAGGCGCGGGATTATAGGCTGAGGCGCCGAGCCCGGCTAGATCTAAGTTTTCTTAGGGACCAGGCACGGTGACTCACAGCTGTAATTCCAGCCCATTGGAAAGCCAAGGAAGGAGACTGCGGGAGCCCAGGAGTTTGAGACCTGCCTGGACAACATAGCAAGAACTTGTCTCTACAAAAATAATTTTAAAATGTCTGAGCACGATGGCATGCGCCTGTAGTCCCAGCTACTCGGGAGACTGAGGCATGAGGCTTGCCTGAACTCGGGAGTTCAAGGTGCAGTGAGCCATATGGTAGTATCACTGCCCTCTAGCCTGGGTGACAGAGGGATACCCTGTTTCAATCGATCGATCAATCGATCAATCAATCAATCAACTGACAAACCGATGGAAGTTTTCTCATCAGCCTTGGGTTCTTTTCAGAAGAGATTGCTAGTTTCCACAAGGCTTCACATGAATGTGGCAACCTCCCTGCAGTCAGACACATCTGGCTTCAAACTCCACCCTGGCCCTTCCTGGGCTGCTGGGGCTTGGCAGGTGACGCCCGCTCCGTTTCCTCACTTGCAACAGGGACGATCGTGCCTCGTGTGTGTGGCCGCTGTAACGGAGGCACTCAACTGGGCGTCCGGCCCTCCAGTTAGGACGGTTTGCCGCCTTCGGAACCATGACCCAGTCTCGTCCTAGAGCAGGGGTCCGTCCTGGTCTCCCTCAGAGGGCAGCCCCCTCCCTGGCTCCCCTTGGAGAGGCCGCATCATCCAGGGGCTTGGGCTCTCAGTTCACAGAGGAGGTTCAGGTTGGGGCAGGGGTCACGGGAAAGGGATTCCTGTGTGGCGGGAGGTGAGAGCCTTGGAAAGCCCGGGCTGGCGAAGGTGACCGCCTTCGAGGAGCCGGGCACTGGCTGGCAGTGGAGGCTTCTGTGAAGGATGGGTGGAGGGTCCCGGGGAGGGCTTTGCACACACGGGCGAAATCCTGGGACTCCCAAGCTCCTGGGCTTCCAACGGAGTGAGGACCCGAGGTGTCCCATCCTCTGCCTTCCTGCCGTCTCACCCCTCCCTTCAGACTCTGAGCGGCCCCTGGCCCAGTCCCCCCCAGTCTGTCCCTTGCTCTGGAGAAAATCCCTTTATGCTCTTCCCCCAGATCTTCAAACGGCTCGTTCCCTTCTTTGGGTCACCTCCTCAGGGAAGCCCTCTTGGACTCATTCTAGAAATAACTCTTTCTCCTCTGGTCACTCTAACCGCTGGTCCTCCCCGTCTCCCCCGGCCTTTAACAGCCACCATCACTACCAGAACCGCGTTCTGTGTTTATTTGCTTGTTTTCTGTCTCCCACACTGGAATCTGAGCTTGGCAGATGGACTCGGTTGGCTATGCAGGGCACCAGGCTTCAACTCGAACTGCATGTGCAGCGGGGCACCACCGGTGTTTTGGGAAGGGTGACCCTTCCTGCAGTGTGAGCTGCAAGTGCTCGTGGGTGGGCCTCTTCAGGCTGTGGGGTCTGAGGGCGGGTTAGAAGAAAGAAGCCCTTGAGCTTGAAGTGTGCTCACACATTTGTTCACTCGATGACAACCCACTGAGAGGCTCTTGCCCTGGGTACTGGGGAGCCAGAGGGAGGGAGGTCTCGACAATCCCTGAGTTTGAAGGAGAGGAGAGGAGAGGTGGGGTGGAGTGGAGGAGGCGGAGGGCTGAGAAGGAGCCACGAGGGAGCAGGGCGGGAAGACACGGAAGGTGGGCTCTCCCCAGCACGGAGCCTTTGGAGGAGGCCGGCACTGTGTGGGCCGTGGGTGGCCGGAGAGGCAGGGAGGCAAGGAGCGGGCGGGGCGGGCTCTCCAGCCCTTTGGAGGCCGCTGGCCAGAGAGTGAGGTGTGGCTGGGCTGGGCAGGGCCAGCCTCTGCCTGGCCGGAGTCGGTGAGCCTGGCTCGTCTAACGGGCTCGTTCCCAGACGCGGCCATCTCTCCCCAGGTGCGGGAGTGCCTGCAGCCGTTCAAGGTGACGGAGACACAGCTGCAGCGGATCCAAGCCGGCCTCCTGGGGTCCATGGAGCAGGCGCTGAGGGGACAGCCCAGCCCCGCCCCTGCTGTCCGGATGCTGCCCACATATGTGGGGTCCACACCAAATGGCACCGGTGGGTGGCACAGACGACAACGAGTGGCCGGGTCTAGAAGGGGGTGCTGATCGGGGGAGGGGACGGCTCCTTATCCCTGTCCCCGTCGCTGAGATCCCTCGACTGGACTTCACAGGCCTCGGGGGCTATGGGGGAGGCAGAGGGCTCCAGTCTTGCGGGCCGCATGTCTTTCTGGGACCCGCTTGCCCTCCAGAGCAAGGAGACTTTGTGGTGCTGGAGCTGGGGGCCACCGGGGCCTCACTGCGAGTTTTGTGGGTGACACTCACGGGCGCCGAGGGGCAGAGGGTGGAGCCCAGGAGCCAGGAGTTTGCGATCCCCCAGGAAGTGATGCTGGGCGCTGGCCCGCAGGTGAGTGCTCACAGCCCAGCCTCGGGGCCACAGGCCGGGCAGGGGGGTCTGGCTGGGGGCGAAGGGTGGGGGGCGCAGAGTTGAGCCCCCGCCCGTCACGCAGCTCTTTGACTTCGCTGCCCGATGCCTGTCTGAGTTCCTGGAGGCACACCCGGTGAGCAGTCGGAGTCTGCAGCTTGGCTTCAGCTTCTCCTTCCCTTGCCACCAGACGGGCCTGGACAGGGTGAGGTGGCGTGGGCGTGGGCGCCGTGGGTGGAGAGAAGGGCTGCAGCCCCGTGGAGGCCATCGGAGGCATAACCCAGCCTCTCTGCTGCAGAGCACCCTCATTTCCTGGACCAAAGGCTTTCGGTGCAGTGGTGTGGAGGGCCAGGATGTGGTCCAGCTGCTGAGAGAGGCCATGCGGAGGCAGGGGGTGAGTGGGCGGGGCGTGGGAGGGGCTGCCCTGTGGCCTGGGCCCAGAGGGCCGTGCTTCGGGGCAGCCCTCTCAGACCCTTCAGCCAGTTAACCCCGGGGGACGAGCGGCGACCATTCCCATTTTACAGGTAGGCGGCACTAAGGCTAGGAAAGGTCCAAAAAATGTCCAGGACCCGGGGAAACAAACAGGAAAAGACTGCCTGTGTCCTCAAGGTCCTCGCAGGTTCGAGGGGAAAGCATTTGGATAAAAGACTGTCCCTGTTGAGGAGCTTGGACACCTCTGGGAGCACCAAGGGGAAGCATCTGCTCTTTGAGCCGGGACTTGCAGGAGCGTTTGCCTGGCTGGCTCCGAAGCTGGGCCTGGGAGGGAAGCTCTGATCTCAGAGAACAGCACGCCGCAAGGCTGGGTGCCCGAGGAAGGCGGGTCTGTCGGGGCTGACCCCCGCGGTGCTACGTGGTGCTGCGTGTGGTGACTGGAAGCCTGGGCGGGCCGGACCGGCTTGGGGAGCAGGATGAGGCCAGCCCAGCACCGTCTTCCAGGAGGCGCTCCGCCTCGGGACCCTCCCCTGAGGCTGGGGTGGGAGGGGCACCCTCTGTAGGCGGGCCCTAGGCGACACGGCACACGTATGTGGGGCATGCAGACACCGTGCTCCACGGACTCTGGGCATCCCCAGCCAGGGTCCCGGCTCTGCCCACCCCTGGGCTCCCTGCTCGGGCCACTCGGTCCAGCCCCGCCCTCCCCTCTCCAGGTCCACAATATCGACGTGGTTGCCGTGGTGAACGACACGGTGGGCACCATGATGGGCTGCGAGCCGGGCGCCCGGCCGTGTGAGGTCGGGCTCGTCGTAGGTGCGCCGTGGCCGTTTGTGACGATGGGTGGGGAGGGGTGCTGCCGGGTGGGCAGGCCCTGACGGGGTCGCCCCGCAGACACAGGCACCAACGCGTGTTACATGGAGGAGGCCCGGCACGTGGCGGTGCTGGATGAGGACCGAGGACGCGTCTGCGTCAGCGTCGAGTGGGGCTCCTTCAGTGACGATGGGGCGCTGGGGCCGGTGCTGACCGCCTTCGACCGCGCCCTGGACCGTGCGTCCCTGAGTCCCGGCGCCCAGAGGTGACTTGGCGGGCGCCCCGGCCCTCGGTTCCAGGCCCTCTCCCTGCTCTGCCCCCACCCGTGTGCAGCCCCTGTCCTCGGGCCCTCCGGCTCCTCCCTGGCACGGCCAGGGTCTCTCCAGGGTGCCCTGGCCAGGTTCAAAGGGGAAACTCAAGGGCTCGAGGGTCTAGAACCCAGAACTTCAGCCTTTGGTGCCACCTATTCCCGACTCTGGCCTGCGCTGGCGGGGGTGGGGGTGGGAGCTGGGGTGTCCCTGCCTCCTTTGGGTGCCGCTGCCCCTCCAGGGGTCCCTGAGCCTGGCCGAAGTCAGAGGGGGCAGTGAGGCGTGGGCAGTGCCCATCTGTCCTCTGGGAGGCCACCTGTTGCTTCTAGAGCCTCCAGTCCTGGGCCCCCAGGGAAAACGAGCCCTCTGTGGGAGCCCTTGGAGGAAGGGCGGGTGGCCCGAGGGCTTGGGGGAGGCCTCGTCCAGCCACCCCGCCCTCCTGCAGGTTTGAGAAGATGATCGGGGGCCTGTACCTGGGCGAGCTGGTGCGTCTGGTGCTGGCCCACCTGGCCGCGCACGGGGCCCTCTTCGGGGGCCGCACCTCCCCCGCCCTGCTGAGCGCAGGCAGCATCCACCTGGAGCACGTGGCTGAGATGGAGCAGTGAGTTGGGGGTGGGGGCGGCGCCTCAGAGGGGAGCTTGGCTTGGGGGAGGGGGATACTCTGTCTCCCAGGTTGCCCGGGGCTTTGGTGGGATGGGGACCTTCTGGGCTACTTGAGCCCCGCACCAGCCCACCCTGTCCCTCCCAGCCCCTCCACTGGGGCAGCCCGTGTCCGCGCCATTCTGCAGGGCTTGGGCCTGAGCCCGGAGGCCTCGGACACAGAGCTCGTGCAGCATGTGTGTGCGGCCGTGTGCACACGGGCGGCCCGGCTCTGCGCGGCTGCCCTGGCCGCCGTCCTCGCCCGCCTCCAGTGCAGCAGGGAGCAGCGAGCACTCCAGGTTGCCGTGGCCACTGGAGGCCGAGTGTGCGATCGGCATCCCAGGTACTGTGAGAGCACCATCCCAGGAGAGCAGGGACGCAGGCGTGTGTGTGTGTGTGTGTGTGTGCACCCTGAGGGCATCTGCGGTCCTGTGCACAAGCCCGTGGACGTGAGTGGCCCTCGGGCCCAGGGAGGCTGGGCTGCACTCTGGGAGGCCAGAAGACATTCAGGGAGAGGAAACTGCTTCTCTGTACACACAGAGTGTGTGGAGACCATGGGTGCTGGGGTGGAGACCATGGGTGCTGGGCATGTGGTTGGTGCACAGAGCAGACTGAGAATTGATTTAAAGTGATGGGGAGGCCAGGCACAGGGGTCATACCATAATCCCAACATTTTGGGAGGCTGAGGCGGGAGGATCGCTTGAGCCCAGGAGTTGGAGACCAGCCTGGGCAACATAGCGAGGCTTCGTGTCTGCAAAAACGAGCAAAATTGGCCTGATGGGTGGTGCACGCCTAGAGTCTTAGCTACCTGGGAGGCTGAGGCAGGAGGATCGCTTGAGCCCAGGAGTCGGAGGCTGCAGTGAGCTATGATCGCACCACTGTGCTCCAGCCTGGCTGACAGAGCAAGACCCTGCCTCTACACAAACAAGTAAAAAATTAATAAGGGGGGGACCCTGGTTCTTCAGCAGGCGCTGGGGGTCAGAACCAACCAGTTGGCGTGTGTCTGCACAGGTTCTGCAGCGTCCTGCGGGAGACGGTGCTGTTCCTGGCCCCCGAATGTGATGTCTCCTTTGTCCCCTCTGTGGATGGGGGCGGCCGGGGTGTGGCGATGGTGACCGCTGTGGCCGCCCGCCTGGCCGCCCACCGGCGCCTGCTGGAAGAGACCCTGGCGCCATTCCGGTTGAGCCGTGAGCAGCTGGCAGTGGTGCAGGCGCAGATGCGGGAGGCCATGGCCAGGGGGCTCCGCGGGGAGGCCTCCTCCCTCCGCATGCTGCCCACGTACGTCCGGGCCACGCCGGACGGCAGCGGTGAGGCCCTGGCCTGAGCATGGACCGAGATGCGGGCTCTGGGGGCACGGTGCATGCAGGGGTGAAGCCACAGTTCTGCCCTGGCTCCACAGAGCGAGGGGACTTCCTGGCCTTGGACCTCGGGGGCACCAACTTCCGCGTCCTGCTGGTGCGCGTGGCCGCAGGAGGGGTGCAGATCACCAGCCAGGTCTACTCCATCCCTGAATGTGTGGCTCAGGGTTCGGGGCAGCAGGTACCCATGGCCTGGCTCTGGGGTCAGGGGAGGGTGGGCGAGGGCAGCAGGCCACCCCTGACCCGCCCTGCCCCACAGCTCTTTGACCACATCGTGGACTGCATCGTGGACTTCCAGCAGAAGCAGGGCCTGAGCGGGCAGAGCCTCCCCCTGGGCTTCACCTTCTCCTTTCCGTGTCGACAGCTTGGCCTGGACCAGGTGAGGAAGGGGGGGCCAGGAGGATCACCCCCACGGGCCTCCCACCCACACAGCCTTCATGGAGCAGGCAGGAGGCCGGGCAGCGCTGCTGGACCGGGCCTGAACCCAGCCTGTTTCCCCAGACATGGTACGCCCAAGGTCAGGGTCTGGGGGCATCCGGGAGCAGTGCAGGGCGGGACTGGGGCTGCCCAGAGGACGCAGCGTCTTTCTCAGCCGCAGCAGGGTGTGCCAGCCCAGGGGTCCTGCGGGACGCGGCCTTTGCTCCTCTCTCTAGATGGGGCTTGAGGTTGCACAGGCTTTGTTTGGTTTGGCCTCTCTCCTCCTCCCTTCCCCGTTCGTTTTCTTCCGTGCCTGGCTCAGTGTTGGGAGCCCGGTCAGGGCAGCAGAGTGCCAAGCCCAGGCCCAGACACACACTCCTTCTTGCACACCCCTCTGGATCCCTGCACAAGCGCGGCAGACTCTCACGGACACCCCTGAAGCCTGTCACAGAAGTAGCCTTCTAGGAACCTTCTCAGCCCTCCAGCTTCTGCCTAAGATCCTCTCATGCTGAGCGCTCTCTGCCCTGTGGGCGTCACTGCTTTCCTAGGCTCCTGGGGCCACTGAGAAGCCTCCACTCACCCGCTTACTTTCCACTCTCGGCCCCTGCTCTGCTCCCGCCCCACCCGTGACTCCCCTGGTCCTTCTGATCATGAGTGGGCCGCTGTCTCTGCCCGTCTGCTCCGCACCAGGCCAGGCCTGCTCATTCCTTTTAGATATTTCGTGTGCGTTGCCAGAAGCAGGTGTGACTGTGCAAATCCAGGCGTGCAGGAAGCATAGTGGATGTGGGGACCCCTTCCCCCGCTGGGAGTCCTGTGCAGATGGTGTGGACCTGTGGGGAATGCGGGGCGATCCCCTGGCCCCTGCCCTCCAGCCCTCCCGCCCCCACTGACACCTCCCTGGGCATCACCCGGGGAAGGAGGGCAGGGCCTCCCCTGCTCTCAGGTCACTGAAATCCTTCCGCCCCCACACTTGTCTCAGGGAGGGCGCAGGATCCCTTTCCCAGGAGGCCATCAAAACCCTGGGTCTGATTTCCTTCGGCCTCTCCTTCCAGACCGGGGCATCCCTGTCCTGCCCTGGGGCAGGGTGACATGCCGTTGTTACTCATTATCTCCTCTCTCTTTCCTGGGTTTCTCTCTCACTCTCTCACACTCTCTGGCTTCTGTTTTTGAGACGAGCCTAGTACAACAGGAAAAGGGCACAAGGAAACACCCTTGGAGGAAAATGCCTGTTGCGGGCCACCGTGCTGGGGGCAGCCGTCTCCGCCCAACAGCCCAGACTGTCCCTGATCCCTGCCCCGCCTCCAGGAAGCCCACCATGGAAAGCCGCAGTCCCTTTCCGTTACAGCCAGGCCGCTTGCCACTGAGTTTGCAGTCGAAATCCTTTTGCTCACCGTGAAGAGCGCTTGGTCTTGCCGCCCTGTCCCTGACTCTGAGCATTCCTGCCTCTCCGTCACGGGGTCTTTCGGAAAGGGCAGGGCCTGCCACCTGGGCCGTGGCCTTCTGGCCTCCCCTTTCTCATGCCTGACCCTTGCCTCACCGGCGCTGCTCACTCCTAACCCGATGACAAAAGGCTGTTCCTTCGGGAGCTGTTTTATGATGGCCAGACCCTCAGACCGTCTGAGTGTTCTGGAGCTAATAACGGACGACATAGGTTGGCTGGCTATTAATAGGTTTCTTCACACCGGAAGCCTCCCGGGAGTGGGGAGCGGGCAGAAGGCGAGGCCTTCCACCGTACGGCAGAGCGGCCAAGGGACGCCGCGTGGGAGGGTGGAGTCGTGTGGGACGCAGGCTGTGAGCCTCGAGGGGGCCTCCAGCGTCCCGTCCCCTCTCGGTCCCACCCCAGGGTGTCCTCCTCAACTGGACCAAGGGCTTCAACGCCTCCGGCTGCGAGGGCCAGGACGTTGTGAGTCTGCTGCGGGAAGCCATCGCACGCAGACAGGTAGAAGCCTGCTCCGGGGCTGCTTTGGGGCTGCAGCAGGCCTGGAAGGGAGCAGAGGGTCTCCTGCTCCCTGAGAGGGGAGCCCTCTGCTGTAGAGACCTCTGGGTCTGGTGCTGGTTGCTGTGACGACCGCGTTGCCCGGCAACGAGCAGCATCCTTTTGTGTGCAGGCCGTGGAGCTGAATGTGGTTGCCATTGTCAATGACACGGTGGGGACCATGATGTCCTGTGGCTACGAGGACCCTCGGTGCGAGATGGGCCTCATTGTCGGTGAGGAGGCCCCGCCCTGTGGTCCCTGCCGCGCGACAGCGCGCTGCCTCTCGTGGTTCCTCAGGGTGGGCATTCCTTGGGCCTCGGGGGTGTGGGATCGTCTCTGCCTGACCCGGTGGGACCCTGGAACATTCTCTGGGGCTGGGAGTCTGGAGCTTGGGTGTTTAGTGCGCTCAGTTGCTGGCTCAGGGTCGTGTGTGCTCCTCTAGTAAATGAATCTGAGTTCTGGAGTCATACACAGTTGGGTGGAAACACGGGCTTTGCACCTCCGCCTGGACGGCCTTGGGCAAGTCCCCGGAGCCTCATCTCTAAGATGGAGATAATAATGCCTGTCTCTAGGGATCACGAGGATGAAACAGGAGGGGCCAAGTGCCTGCCTTGGGGGACACATTGGTGTTTGGGGATGGGGGGGTTCGAGCTAGAGGGTTCTTCAGACAGTCCAAAATTCTTATTATTTTGATCATCGCAGCCTCAGCTTCCTGGGCTCGGGCGATCCTTCTGCCTCAGCCTCTTGAGTGGAATTTCAGGTGCACGCCACCATGCTTGGCTAATTTTTTGATTTTTTTGTAGAGATAGGGTCTTGCTATGTTGTCCAGGCTGGTCTTGAACTCCTGGGCTCAAGCAATCCTCCTGCCTTAGCCTCCCAAAGTGCTGAGATTACGGGCATGAGCCACCACGCCCAGCTGACAGTCTGGGAATCTAATGTTCATTAAACACCTATGGCCAGAGGGGGCTGGACAGACGGGAGGACACATAAAAGAAGAGGAAATCTCTGCCTTCTCAGACTGACCACCTGGTGAGGATTGAGCGCAGACCCGCACGTGGTGGTCAGAGAGAGTGATTTGACTCTTCGTATAGGCTAAGATCAGAAAGGAACAGGTCTGGGATGGGTGGGACTTGAAGAGAAAGCCTCGGAAGGAAGGAAGAAAGATTTGGGGGGGAGGAGGGAGCCTGCAGCTCCTTGGGCATCGGCCTCTGAAAGTGAGGTACGTGGCAGCCTCCCGTGAGATGGGAGCTTCTGGAGGAAGTTCCAGACGGGGCGGGCAAGGAGCCCCCAGGCCCAGAGAGTATGTGGAGGAGGGCGATTCCTCTGCGGGTTCTCCCTCTGCCCGGAGTCACTTCCTTCCTGGTCTCCTGGCTATGCAGCCCAGCCCCATGACACTTCCTCCCGTCAGCAGAAGGACTCGCCCTGTGGCCTGGGGCTCCCGTGGTGCTCTCTGCGCCTGGAGTCGGCACCAGAGACGCCATCAGAGTTGCTGTCCACTGCCCAACTTCTGGCCAGACTGTGGGCTCCTTTTGCCCAATTTCTCTCTGTCTCCCGCTCTTGTTAGTTTGATGGAGGACCTAGAAGGCCAGTCCAGGGAGCTTTGGCCTCTCACCAGCAGATGTGGGGAGGGTGTGTCCCACGTCCCCCAGGGGAATGATGTGACTGATGGGCACCGTAGGAGCCTTTAGGGTAGCCAGCTCGGAGCACCGTTTTAGGAGAAGTCGTGGAGGCCCCAAGGGCTTGGTGCTGGCAGAGTCTGCAGGAGGGACATCAGGAAGGAGGAGCGGCCCAGGGACCGGGTGTGAGGTGGAGAGGCGGGGAGTGAGCCTGAGCGGTGTCCTCCGGATGTGGGAAGCTCTCAGAGGGGTTCCGTCTGCGCCCATAAGCGACTCCCACCCCATGTGGCCTCTGCAGGGACTGGCACCAACGCCTGCTACATGGAGGAGCTCCGGAACGTGGCGGGCGTGGCCGGGGACACTGGCCACATGTGCATCAACATGGAGTGGGGTGCCTTCGGGGACGACGGCTCGCTGGGCGTGTTCAGCACCCGCTTCGACGAGAATGTGGACCGGGCGTCCATCAATCCCGGCAAGCAGAGGTGTGGGCCGGGCGCAGGTGGCGGTGGCTGGTGGTGCTGGCGCGGGGGCCGGTAGCCGTGGCCTCTCTTGCCCGATGCACATGCGTTCATGCAGGTTTGAGAAGATGATCAGCGGCATGTACCTGGGCGAGATTGTCCGCCATGTCCTCTTGCACCTGACCAGCCTTGGCGTCCTCTTCCGAGGCCAGCAGAGCCGGCGCCTGCAGACCAGGGACATCTTCAAGACCAAGTTCCTCTCTGAGATTGAAAGGTGCCCGAAGCCCTCGACCTCCCCTGCGACGGGGTCTCGCTGTCCACCCTGGATGCTGGCTGCTGGTGGCGGGGGTCCACACTGGGAGGTGGAGCGAGGGGAGCCAGGGGGAGGGAGCTCACGCAGGGCCCGCCCCTCCACTCTTTTTCCTCCCGGCCCCCAGTGACAGCCTGGCCCTGCGGCAGGTCCGAGCCATCCTGGAGGACCTGGGACTGCCCCTGACCTCGGACGACGCCCTGATGGTGCTGGAGGTGTGCCAGGCTGTGTCCCAGAGGGCTGCCCGGCTCTGCGGGGCAGGCGTGGCTGCCGTGGTGGAGCAGATCCGGGAGAACAGGGGCCTGGCGGAGCTGACCGTGTCTGTGGGTGTGGACGGGACACTCTACAAGCTGCACCCCCAGTGAGTGGCACGAGGGCTGGGGAGGGGGTGTGGCCAGGCCAGGGCCCAGGCTCACCACGGCCCCTGCTGCCCCTCACAGCTTCTCCAGCCTGGTGGCGGCCACGGTGCAGGAGCTGGCCCCCTGCTGCGCGGTCACCTTCCTGCAGTCAGAGGACGGGTCTGGCAAAGGTGCGGCCCTGGTCACCGCTGTCGCCTGCCGCCTCTCCCGGCCCACCCGCATCTGAGGACGTCTCCGTGGAGACGGCGGGCTGGAGAGGGCTCCGCCCCGGGCTTGCTGGGCCCGCCTGACCCCGGCCACCCAGGACTCCCAGACAGCCCGTGTGTGCCCCTCTGTGGCCCTGTGGCCTGGCCCCACTCCTGGCTTTCCCCGAGAGAAGCAGCACTCAGGTTAGCAATATATATATATAATTTATTTACATTCACGTCCGATAAAATCCCTATGCGCCCCGGCGGCCGGGCAAGGCTGTATACATAAGGCCAAGTGTAAGTGCGTGAATGCACTTGAGACAGAGTCAGGACACGAGCTTCACACGACAGGCCCCGCGTGGGGCTCCAGCGGCCTCGGGAACGGCTCGCACGGCACACACACTCGCCATTGTACAGCCCAGGGCTCTCGTTGCATATTCACACGCCCCGCCGGGCAGGGCACCTTGAGGCTGGGGTCGGGGAGGGGCGGGGGCGCTG